AAAACACTTAAAAAAACGCCAAAAACAAATTCCCATTAATTTCTCTGGCCATGTTCACATCTGAGCGTTCTGCCGCTTGTAGCAAAACACCTGTCGCTGGAAAAAAATAAATGAGCTTCTTTTTGGCAGATTAGGCGCTTCTTGGCCCCATAGACTTCAATGGAAACTCTCAAAAATGCGTATTTGCTGCGGTTTTGCGTTTGCCCATTTACATCTATAGTGTGCAGCAAAAACATGCATAGAAATGAGTGAAAACGTTGTCATCTAGGTTTGAACGGAGCCTTAGCACCTGTACACGCCTAGGCGTTTTGTCGCTCAAAGTTATTATTATTATACAGGATTTATAGCGCAGCGCAACAAGACGCTCAAGCAAGGAATTCTATTCATCTCTATGACCCCTGTTCACTCCTGAGTGTTATGTTGCGTGTTTTGTCGCACAGCGTTTCCCAAACGCTCAAAGCAAGGTGATTAAAATTTCGTACGACCTGCCCATCATGGACAGGCAGATCGTACTTGCACTCATTGCAAGTCCTCCCCGCTGAGGGCAGGGCTTGCAGATGATTGCAATGGTGAGCGGGCAGTGTGCGGCTTTCATCTTGTGATCGCGCTACCAACCCGCTGAAAATCGTACGATTTTGGCGGGTTTTCTAGCGTGCTCGTTATATGAAAATCGTGCGACTGTACAGTAAATGCGGTCGCACGCTGCCCATCAACCTTAAGATTATCATATGATCGCGGGATCACGCGCGAATATCGTATGATAACCGTCAGGTGTATGGGCAGCTTAAGAGTTTTTCAGACAGGCTTGGGGGAAGCAATGCACAGCCTACAGGTATGACATCGAAAACAAACTTCTGTTTCAAAATCTGAGCAGTGTTTTTTTAATGTATCAGGGACGCCGTAATGCACGGGCAATTTCATTTGTATCAAAATAACTCTCCCTTTAAGTATAAGCTTACGACACTTTGCACATTGCTGTGTGTAACTATTGTGTGCGTTCTGTCGGTGAGAGTAAAAACGGGGCCAGTAATAACAGACTAACTGACGGTGACGGCAACCGGTGTCTTTTGACAACTGCCCTCTGCAACGGCTCATCAGGTTAGATTGAGTGTTAGCATCTATCTCCAGGACGACAGGCTAGCTGCCATTGACCACAAGGACCGACCCCGGGGGAGGAGGAAAAGCAGTTGCCAGAACAGCAAGTTAAAAAAAATATCAAACTTTTTCTGTACTCTCATAGCACCATCCAATCTTCCTCCGACAGTGTGCCATAAGAAGAGCAGACCACTAGCCGTACAATCTAAGCTCAAAACATAGACAGGCTTTTAACGGGACCGATCACAGCGCAAAATGGGAGCGTGCTGCACATGCTATAAAAGATCCAAAACTGCTCCGGAGGTACCTGAAATGGGTAAATAACTATAGAGCCGATTATACAGACCCCCCTCCCCAGAGCACAAATGATACAAATGATTACTTTTTCCATCTATTATCTTCTGTGTTTTGTTTTTTTTCCCCTTTTATTTCCTTCCTGTCCTGTTATTCACAGTTCTTCCCTTCGCAGGGCCCTTCCACCCAGATTTTGTTACTGTTTGTTGTGTTGATGTCATGACTGCCCATAGACATGTGATGACAGTCCCCCCGATACCATTCACAGTCTCCCAATACCGTTGATTTGTAGTGGCATCAGCCAACGTTCTTATGTTAACAGGCAGTGGGCAGATATAAATGATCCCACGCAAACTATTTTGGAGGGGTATATGGTTTCGACCTTCGAAGGGGAAAATGATCACACCTATGGCCTCTGCCCTATTAATAACATGCATATGGGGTGAATACATTTTGGGATATTTGTAATGCCATATGCTCATATGAAGTACTGTCGCTCTTTTGAGCATTACTCCTATTTCATTCTTGGATGCTCTTTTAAAATTAGAGTAAATAAACTTGATATTTTATATAGTTCGATCATTTATATCAGGGGCTAGACAACCTCAGCACTCCAGCTGTGCGTAAACTACTAATCCTATCATGTATCTGCTAGGGCTGTGGAAATTAAAGATTAATTTCTCGATTAATCGTTAAACTTTTTGATCGATTACAATTATTTTGATCGCTAATGAAAACACTCACCTCTCCGCCGGCTTCCAGGAGTCCCGTCGGCGATCCGATGACGTCACAGACATCGACGTCACCGGACTCCTTCCCCAAGTGGATCCGTCGGCTAACGAAGGGAAGGGGGGAGTGAGATTAATAACGTGCTGGATTAGTGTGATTCTAGTTCATTTTATGACTTCAGTTGACTTTAGTTGGATCTGTATGTGCGTTATAATCGAAATTAATCGATTTTTAAAAAATTTGATTAATCGAACACGAAAATTTTAATCATTACCAGCCCTAGTATCTGCCTGTGGGAGTCATGCATGTGGCTGTCGGAGTCTTGCCATGCCTAATGGGACTTGTAGTTCCAAAGCAGTTGGAGTGCAGAGGTTGCCTAGCCCTGGTTTATATTATTTGACACCTTAAGTCCCAAACTCTTTATTTAAAGTCTACCTATTAATGACGTTGGCAGCAAGTCCCATTTTGACCAGGATGGGTTAATAATGACATTGGCAGCAAGTCCCATTTTGACCAGGCCGGGATAATAATGACATTGGCAGCAAGTCCCAATTTGACCAGGCCGGGATAATAATGACATTGGCAGCAAGTCCAATTTTTACCAGTCCAGGTGACAACCCTGGGTATAGGCAGCACTTGCCTGGACGGCTCCCCCCACCCACATGAACCCTAACGTTTGAGCAGGGTCAGATTGCACATGGGTTAATAATGACATTGGCAGCAAGTCCCATTTTGACCAGGCCGGGATAATAATGACATTGGCAGCAAGTCCCATTTTGACCAGGCCGGGATAATAATGACATTGGCAGCAAGTCCAATTTTTACCAGTCCAGGTGACAACCCTGGGTATAGGCAGCACTTGCCTGGACGGCTCCCCCCACCCACATGAACCCTAACGTTTGAGCAGGGTCAGATTGCACATGGACATAAGACTGCTCTTGGAAGTCTATGGGCATCTTTAGGCTATCCTGGGTATAACTACCTGTCAAGCATAATCTACTACAGTGCAGGCCATGAACAGCTCTCTGTAGAGAAGTGGACCAAGCGTGGGAGATGTTTTTGTTGTTTTTCATTAAGCTTCATTAAGCATGTGCTGGAAATTGCTGTGATTGAAAACCAGGCAATAAGGCATATATCTGATTGATATACAGAGGAAAGCTAACTTTAATATGTAAGCATGTGTAATAAGTATGTTTTTCTCACTTATTGATTTGATGATCTTATACCTGAAGGAGACACTATAACCCTGCAAAGTGACAGCATCTTTGTGAGTGGCCCCCTCTAACCCTCTGCTATTCATCTTGCCAGTACTCCCTCACCACTCCTGCCTCCCTCGCAGTCGGTGGCAATACCTGGTGCTTTCACGTATGGAGGATCATTTACCATTTTACATGCCACATGCCGCCAATCACTAGGCCAGCACATTGTCATGGAACCAAGGCAGTCATATCACCATTTCCTTTAGTGTCCAACACTGGCGATTTTAGTGCTGGCTACAATCGAGTGAGGAGCATCAAGAAATCACTGCCAAGGTATCAGAGGGTCAAGGAGGCCCTTTTGCATAGACACTGTCACTTTGCCCTGACTGGGGAAGGTAACAGGGTATCTTTAAATTGTTATGCCGGTTTAATTATGAATTATTTAAATTGGTCCCTATTTAGTGTTACTATTTGTCAGTCAGAGGTCATCTGAAGTTTGATATTTGCCACCTTTCCAACTGATTGACCTCCCAAGCTGTCTTCACTCTCTCTTTAGGAGGTCACTCGTAGGTTGGTTGTACATCTGTGGTGTGGTCCTCGAACTTGGCTGGGCTGATCATCCAGACCTTGAAATGAAAGGTGGCTTTATCTATTGACTTAAAACATGCTGCTGACCCATGGTTGTTTTATCAGGCTGATCATCCAGACCTTGAAATGAAAGGTGGCTTTATCTATTGACTTATCATATTGTGGTCAATGTAAAGCTCCCTTTGATTTATTGTGTCTTCCTCTGCTTTGCCTATGCAAGGCAAAGCAACAGGATAACTTTAGTGACTACTCCACCAGCTCTGCACATATTTACTTTCCTTCACTCTGCTGATACGTTCAGGTGCCAGGAACAAAGAGTGGAAGCACCAAGTTGTGACTTAGAGCTTCTATCCACCCACATGTGACAGCACTGGGTGCCCAATCACCAGCACTATCACATGGGAGAAATGTGAGTCACTTGCTTCCCCATACTAAAAAGTACCAGGTACCACTCTCTTTCTTCTACCAGGGGAGCAAAGGTGAGTATATTCTGCTGATGGGGCCACCACTGAAATGTTGCATTACCCTGCATAGGCAGTGCACAGGTTTGCTTTAACAAGCACGGGTTGCCATTGCTGGCCTCCTGAACATGCTCAGTGCTTGACTGTGTCTGGTTTCAGTCTGTCAGAACCCCTGATTTGCATACTTGTTTCAGGTCATCCATGCCATTGGATGGGCATGATTGCTAGGCAGCTAGCAATTCATCCGAGGTCAACAGTAGCAAGCTACACACTTCCTCACTACAAGTTTCCTTTATTAAAATAGCAGATTGATTCATGTCAGCCAATTAGATGTCAGTTTCCGGATTTCTATCTGCAATAGAAAAATTACTGTCATTTGATTGGTGTTCTTATGGTCAACACCTCCGCTTTTTCGTCTCCAATATCTTGCATATGAGTTTGGTTGCTGTGGCATGCAGCTTTCTTATGAATGCGTCTTTTCTACAAAAACCCTTTTAATGTGTGATATATCTCTCTTTATGACATTATATTCTACCTCCTATTCAGTCTTCAGGGGAAATTATGATTCCGTGGGCTGTAGATCTGAATTATGTAGGACTTGATCCATTAACGCGTTTCTGTTTTCTTTCAACAGAAAAACTTAAGAACAGCAAGATCATCTTTGTGGTCGGTGAGTATAAATAATTACGGACAGAATTTTCAAAGCAGAAATTTTGTATCCAAGCATGCAGGTGATTAATGTCACCCTAATGCAGCTAGATGATCACATCCCCTATCTCAGGGATGTCCAAACTCCGGCCCTCCAGCTGTGGTGAAACTACAAATCCCATGAAGCATCTCTCTCCGGGAGTCATGTCTGTGGCTGTGAGAATCTTGCAAAGCCTCATGGGATTCGTAGTTCCACCACAGCTGCAGGGCCGCAGTTTGGACATCCCTGAGATAGGGGATATGATCATCTTCGAACAGCAAATCCACATTTATTAGACACAAGTGTATGTAAAGCCAAAACTTTTGTTATAAATAATACAGGAATGGTTAAGACCCCTCTTTGCCCCATTAGGGAGATTTACTTTCACTGCCTGTCTTAGAGACACTTCAGGAATTAAGAGGAAATCTCTCAAAAGTTAAGGGGATATCTCCTCTTAGGCAGTTGTCACCAGAACAGATGTCCCCATGTACCAGAGACAATGGTCATCAAAATAGACGAAGAACATGAATTTCCCCATTGGAGACACAGGCAGTGTTAATCAAACTCAGGGCTAAAATTGACTGGACACGTTAGAAAGCCTTATTCTATAGCGTTAGATTCCCTTGAGACACACTATTCATTTAAATATCTATGGTTAAACGAGTCTATAGATATAAATTAAAGGAAGCAGTGGAGGACTGGGCTGGGTTGTAATTTGCTCCCTGGATCAGTACTTATAATATATGGCCCTAAATGGAGTTACTTACCCATCCTTCACACACACACACACACCCACACACACATTCAGACTTGTGTTCACAGCGTCTTACAGAGAAAAGTCTTCCAGTGCCAACTTACTATGATGTCTTTTAGCCCAATGCCAAGAGGTGCAAAGGAAGGAAGATGATGCTGGGAGATGTGAAAAGGTGTGTCACAATAAACCTTGTCCTTTAAGAACACCCACCCATGTCCTTTAGGAAAACACATCTATCAATAAAAATGAGACCTTATCAAAGGTGGTTGAAGGCTACCATGGACATCCTCATCAAAGGTGGTTGAAGTCTACCATGGACATCCTCATCAAAGATGGTCGAAGGCTACCATGGATATCCTCATCAAAGGTGGTTGAAGGCTACCATGGAATACTCATCACAGTTGGTTGAAGGCTACCATGGACATCCAAGGATGTCAGGCATACAGAAAAAACAAAAGTGGAAGGGGAAGCGCCACAGCCAGGTCACAACCTAAGACAAGGGTGGAAGTCCACGGTGTGGAAAATTCAGATGGGTTGGTCTTGTTTTGGAATGCTGGTGTGAAGGATGGTGATGACTGGTCCTTCTCGCGTTGGATGTTGGAGGTGGTTGATGAGGGGGTAAAAAAGGTGATACAGGTGAATAAGTGCAGGAAATTAAATCACGTGTGTGATATGTAGAAACTCACCAAGAGGTAAATGAAGATGCAATAAGTGGAGAGGGACAAGGATGGCATACTGTAGACACTTCCATTAACGACCTTACCAATAGCAATCAGACAAGGTTTCCCAACCTGTCTGATCAATATTGTCCATGCACGGGCCTTAGCCAGCGATGTCTTCTACTGTCTGCCAGTACAGTACATCATGTATAACAGTTATCTCTTTATCCGACCAAATGTAGACCTGTGTTTAAAACTTGAAAAGAACTTCATAAAATCATAGTTACCTGTTTAACTAAAACATTTGATGTTAGTGCAATGTGACTTACAGATTGAACGCAGGGAAATGTGATATTTATGAATATTCCTGAATTGATAGGACATTCGTATACGTAGTAGTTTGGAATTGTCCATCTGTAAATTCTATGCGTGCCCTCTATGTGTGGCTCCATGAGACACTGTTTAAGGAAAGCAGCTATAATGTCTACTTTCCCATAAGCTCATCCTTAACATTTGTATGTCTGGCTCTTTCAGGAGGACCAGGCTCCGGCAAGGGCACCCAGTGTGAGAAGATTGTAGAGAAATATGGTTACACCCACCTGTCTACTGGGGACCTGCTGAGGGCAGAGGTGTCCTCTGGATCTGCGCGAGGGAAGACTCTCTCTGCCATCATGGAGAAAGGAGAGCTAGTGCCTTTGGTAAGATCAGGACTACGGTGGTCACACACGTTACAATGGATCTGTGCAATCACAGCTATACAGGCACTTTTAACCTCCTTCAGCCAGCTGTAAACCACAAAAATGACCAAACCACTTAACGCAAACCCTAATCAATTTTTACAGAACAATTAACTTATGCAAACTGTTGGGCTGGCTGTTCACCATTTTCTGGTGATCAAAAGGTGGGTGAACAGTGGTTGTCCAGCATCAGGGTATGTACTTGTGCCCAGTGCCCAGGGCTCTGCACTAAAAACTACTTAAAGCAACTGTCACACGTCGGCTCAATAGATCGGGAAGTGCGCGAAAACATACCGTCGCTTGCTCACTTCTCGATCATGTCCCTGCAGAGAGCCGTGACTGTCAGTCACGGCTCCACGCAGGGATTCCCCTCCCCTCTCTGATCCTCCAGCGCTGAGTGGAGGAATGGATGGGGAGGGGGCGGGCACAGCTGGCTCTGCCTCTAGATAGGCAGAGCCAGCTGTCACTCACGCAGCTGGGTGGATCTTTACAGTAATGTCGGGATCTGTCCTGGCTGCGGCGGTCTCAGTATACCTCGAGCTGTTGCTCGAGATATACTGAGCTTTGAGTCACAGGAGGACGCTAGTATATGTCCTCCCGTGAGCCTTAAGAGAACTATGGGGAAAAACACTGACCCAATAGTTCTATTTTAAATTCTCTGCCTGCGTGTAAAAAAGCAAGTTCAGGTCCATGCAGCACTACCAAACAGCCAATGGCACAAACAAAGCTTTTACATATCAAGTGATCATTATATTGTTTTGACAAAACAGGAATAGATGAGCTGCAAAAACCCCAAGTGTCAACCACGCCATTGTCAAGAGATAACAGAGTCAATTGTAACACACCAAAAAATCAGGTATTATCATATACAAAGAGAAGCCTCTATTTCAGGAGGAACCCCTTTCTATATAATTGTACATGCAGTATTAATCTTGCTGTGTTACAAATAGCTTTGTTCCTTTTTTCCAGAGTTCTAATTATAATATACTGAAATCTTTAACATTGTTATTATATCCTAACAATCAGAGTGAAACATTGTTATCATTGTTTCAACATTCAGCATGTGTTTGTTTGCTGCCTTGGTGAATAAAGGTACCGGACAAACCTGCTTGGGGTGTTCCTGGGTGTCCATGTCTCATGCATGTTCATAGTTTACCAGTAACAGTTTGCTATATATACAGTATATTATATATAATATGACTCCGAGCATAATACTAGTCAGCAATATCAGCCATGTATCCCTTTGCTTTAACTAAACCCTTTCTTGAGAAGAAGGCACCTGACCTTTTACTTTTAAATCTTCCCCAATTTTACTCAAGAAGCCTATAAACCCCTGAAGCAAAGTTTCAGAAATACTTGACTTTAGCTCCAAGGCAGGACTCGCCACACCCAGCGCTATGCATGACTGCAGTTGGCGCCATACTGATAGCTGCTGATGCTCCGGCATTGCAGCGGTGCATGTCATGGGGCTCCTCAGGCATACAGAGAGGAAGCATAAGCAGGCACCAAGTGGTCTGTTCCTATTTAATATGCACATATCACATAAGTGACAAGTTCACTTTAATTACATATGATTGCTGTGGACCAAATCAAATTCTTCTCTTCTATTTTTTTTAAATAAATCAGCGCCTTTATATTCTTATTCAAAGTCGTAGTGCATACCGTTTACCAGCAGGTGGCGATGTTTCATTGGTGCTCATAACATTGCATTAGACTGATGTGAATGTGCACTATATAAAGCACTGGGCAAATTGTCAGGGCTATATAAATACCAATAATAAATAAATATGTTTATTATGAAGTGTGATACTTTGCTGCAGAGTTTGACGCTGAAGGTACAATATGCTTAATTCACAGAACTAACGCCTGGATTTTAAAATGACATTCACATGGCTGGAGAATAACAATCCTTATCCTTGTGTTAAAGCTTTGTGAACTGCTTTAATGTCATTTCTCTAATATCATTAGTATCTTAATACAAAATATGACAGGCATGCAGGAAATCTGTCACAAAGAACACTTGGTTATGCAGCAGTTCACTAGCTAGGAATATAGAAGATTCATTCTGATGTGGATATTTATATGCAATGTAAAGGCACAAAGCACTATTTAGGCCTTGTTCACACCAAGCGCATTCCAGGAGCAGAGCAGTTACAGACCGGATCAAAACTGCGTCCAATGTATTCCAATGGTATTTTGGGCTCTAGTTCACACTGCAGCGTTCAGTTCCAGAGCATGTAAAAAAAACTGCAGCAAGCCCTACATTACCTGCTCTGGAACGCATGCAAACTCATCAAAAACGCATACAAATGCCCTGGAACGCACTGAAAGCCCATTTTAAACTAAAAAAAAAAAAACGGCCCGGAACACATCAAAAACGCGGCAAATAACTCAGTATAACACACTGCACTGCGTATGCAGAAACTCATGCAGATCTGGTCAGCATTTGGTGTGAACAAGCCCTTAGTGCTCCTGGCTTCTTACAGTTTTCTGCTATGCTGTTAGAAGTTTAAAATCGTATAGAGTTACCATATCTATATATTATATTAATCAGATAACTATGAAATACCACATCTGGTTATTACATGTTTCCTACTTGCATCCGACAGGTAAAGCTGAGTTTAGGTACAGCATAGACAGCAATAGTCTGGAGACCGGGACTAAAAACTAGAAAGGCACCAAGGATTCCAATTGACAGGCATTCTGCCTTCCACAGTTAGCTGGCTGGAATCGCATGCAATGAGGGGTGGGTAGGTTGGACTTAGCTGACCTATGCAGGAGCTGTCTTCTTTTAGCAGTTTGTGATCTTTAGTGATTACAGAGTGCAGTGCCGCACACTAATTATATCTTATGTCCCCTGGAAGTAAAAGATGTTGGGAAGCGAATACCTTCCTTCTTCTTTTTCCTTGTCCTTGCAGGCAAGCTGAATGGACACAATGCAATGTTTTCACTGGCCTGGGTACATGCTGAGAGCTTAGAGTTTGGAGCTATCAGAATATATCTGCAAAGTTGCATGGTAGCCATTAGGGATCCACCGATACCGATACCGGTATCGGTGCCGCTGCCAAGTATTTGGGCTAGTACTCGTACTCGCCCAAATGCTCTGATGCCTAGCCCGATACTTCCGGTATCGGGAAGCCGGGCAGCGCGTCATTACACGCTGCCTGGCTTCCTGATTGGCCGGGAAGCCGGCTCCATGCTCCCTCGTCACTTGTGACGAGCGTGTAATGACTCGCTGCCTGGCTTCCTGATTGGCCGGGAAGCCGGCTCCATGCTCCCTCGTCACTTGTGATGAGCGTGTAATGACTCGCTGCCCGGATTCCTGATTGCTCGGGAAGCTGGTCAACAGGAAGCCGGGCGCCATGTAATGATGCGGCGCACGAGTTTCTGATTGGCCGGGAAGCCAGCTTCATGCTCCCACGTCACCTCATAACGAGGGAGCATGGAGCCGGCTTCCCGGCCAATCAGGAAGCCGGGCGTCATTACACAGCGCCCGGCTTCCTGATTGGCCAGAAAAACGGCTCCATGCTTCTCGTCACCTAGTGACGAGAAGAATGGAGACGGCATCCCTGCTAATCGGGAAGCCGTGTGGCGAGTCTTTACACACCGCCTGCCTTCCTGAATGGAAATTCCGGCACTCGGTATTTGGTATCGGCGAGTACCGAAAAAAAAATTCCTAGCAGCCATTGTTAGATTAAAGTTCACATATTTTATACAGTATGTTTATTTATCTTTTAAAAAGGCAGACAGCTTTATTCCGCTTTATTAACACTCACTGTGAGTTTATAAATAACATTAAGATTGATTGCATCCGAAAAAAGGGCGTATTGCTTATGCTGGTTCTGATTGATAGGGTTGGTCTGTGTATTTTGAACACCATGCCGAGTAAACATAGCGCACGTACTGCAAACATGTTGTCATGTAGTGAAGTGCCTCTTCCTTCCCCAGGACACCGTTCTGGACATGTTAAGAGACGCCATGGTCGCCAAAGCTGACACCTCCAAAGGATTTCTCATTGACGGCTACCCTCGTGAGGTCAAACAGGGAGAGGAGTTTGAGAAGAAGGTGAGAAACTGACAGGGTCCTGGATTCTAGACTTCATGTCCACACAAGTCTCATAAATCTTCATAGAGGGATGTGGGCTGTTGAGTGTAGGCTGTGGGCTGTAGTTCACTAACCAGAAGCTGTTAGTAGTATTACCTGCTTACATTACAATGGAAGACCTGGCTATACTGTATGCCAGGCAGGGCCTAACAACCTTGAAGTGTAGTGGTAACACCTGCGACCACCTCATCTATTAAATAATGCTTATTGACAGCACAACCAAGACTGTGTTCTGGTTCATCTCTAACCAGTCATGACATACTGTGAAGCAGCTACACACAAGATTTTACATTTCAACATATATCAGTTATGTTATAGCAGAGGGCTAGGCAACCTCTGTACTCCAACTGTGGCAAAACCACAAATCCCATTATGCTTCTGCCTGTGGGAGTCAGGGTCTTGCAAAGCATCTTGGGACTTACAGCAAGTAACCTGTCATGGACGGAGCACCGCCTGTAAATTACAGGCAGTGCTGCATCCGGATTTTGATAGGTGGTTAGGTTGCGCAGCAGCGGGCTTCCCCACTACTTGTGTAACCTAACTTGGTGAGGCAAGAGCTGTCACGGCCTCTACTCTGTGTTAGAGGCCTGAGTTCTGTGGATGGTTTGGACCAATGGCAAAGCGGTGGTGGCGTGCTTTACACCACGGCATCCGACGCTTTGCATTGCACTTGGTGATGTAAGGCTTGGATGCAGCTGTTCAGCCATGGGAACCCATTCCATGAAGCTCTCTACGCACTGTTGTTGTGCCAATCTGAAGGCAACACAAAGTTTGGATGTCTGTAGCTATTGACTCTGCAGACAGTTGGCGACTTCTGCGCACTTCAGCATGGGCTGACCCCACTCTGTCATTTTACGTGGCCTACCACTTTGTGGCTGAGTTGCTGCTGTTCCCAGTTGCTTCCACTTTGTTATAATACCACTAACAGGTGATCGCGGAATATTTAGTAGCAAGGAAATTTCACGGAACACCTGAATCCAATGTTTTGGAGGGGTGTCCGAATACTATTGGCAATATAGTGTATGTTTGAAGGAAGAATATTAGCAATATGACGTTCCTTTCAGTCACTACTACTAACTATTGTTACATACCATTCATTCTCAGAGTCCAAAGCACTTGTAAATCCCACCCATCACCTGTCCATTGTGACACACTATAGATTATTATAGCATCAGCCACCCCCTGACTGTTGTGTGTCACTATACAGTAGATTCCTTTTATCCCAGCCATAACCTGTCCATCATCTGTCACTCCAGATTGCTGCACCTTCACTGCTTCTGTACATCGATGCCGGTTCAGAGACAATGGTGAAGCGGTTATTGAAGCGCGGAGAGACCAGTGGCCGGGTAGATGACAACGAAGAGACCATCAAGAAGAGGCTGGACACATATTACAAGGCCACAGAGCCAGTCATTGCTCTGTATGAAGGAAGAGGCATTGTACGAAAGGTAAGGACAGAGAGCAGCCAGGCAGCTCAGGAAGTTGTGGGAGATGGAGACATTAATATGAGATTTACTTTTATGTCCAACCAGTAGTGTACGCTAAATAAAGGATAGTATATTCTACATACATTACTACTTGCACTAGAGATCCCCAGAATACATACCCAAATGTATGCTGACTTTTCTACTACGGCAGCGCAGTAATGCATACTCATTTCATCGCTTGGCTACCCAG